CAAGACGTCTGGCACTGCACAACCAGCAAGACCCCATCAAAGAACATGTGGGCTTTACATACAACTATATGTAAATATAGTTGTATGTATGCACATTGCCTTCTGACAGGTGTAATTGTCAGTGTCATGCCACAAGTGACATATCACCTGGGTTATGACACGAGTGACACATGACAGGTATTATGGCATGAGTGACACGTCACAGGTGTCATGTCATCAGTGACACGTCACAGGTGTTATGACACGAGTGACACGTGACAGGTGTCATGTGATCAGTGATAGGTGTCATGTCATGACAAGTGACAGGTGTCATGTCATGAGTGACACATGGCAGTTACCATGTCACCAAGAGTACTGAAGAGCGATAGGCCAGAAATATACATGTCTGTAAGTATCTTTCATGTAATGAATTCATGAATATATGTGTATGTTTTTTGTGTGCATGTATTTATGCATGTGTACATGTGCATATTACATATCTTTGTTTAAATGTTGCTATGAATATTTACGTTTCTCTGAAAGTGATATATATATATATATATATATATATATATATATATATATATATATATATATATATATATATATATATATATATATATATATATATATATATATATATATATATATATATATATATATATATATATATATATATATATATATATATATATATATATACTATTTGTATCTGCGGAATCGAGTTATTAGCTCTTGGACCCCGCCTTTCTAACCTATTTATTTTTCCTCTATTATATCTACTACATATATTTCTCTCTAACACACACACACACACACACACACACACACACACACACACAGGAAGCAGCCCGTAGCAGCTGTCTAACTCCCATGTACATATTTCCTGCCAGGTGAACAGGGTCATCAGGGTGAAAGAAACGCTGCCTATTTGTTGGTGCCGGGGATCGAACCCGGGCCCTACGACGCCAGAATCTAGTGTATGAGTACACAGGGTACACACCACTCATGTATGAGAGTATGCATGCATATACACGTATTATATTGAACCCCAATTAAGGTATACAGGTTCTTGTAACGTTGTAGACTTGTGTGTGGTATTAATAGCCGTCCCGGACCCTTTTGTGTACCGTGGGTCTGTGCCCCCCCTCGGAGAGATCACACGGACGGGGGGGGGAGAAGGGGGGCACGTATGTAATAGGGGGGAGGTAGATTGAATAGGGGTGTGTTGTCATAGTGCTGGGATAAATGTAATGAGGAAGTAGATATAATAGGGTAAAGTTTATGCTATGGTATTGGAGTAGATGTAATATGGATGGGGGGTAGATGTAGTAGGTGTTCTAGTATATGAAATAGGGTGGTTGTAGATACAAGAGGGTGGTGGTGGTGGTGGTAGGGGGCAGGGAGACCCCAGGCCAACTACTGACCAGCCCCCACCATACAACCCTCCCCCCCCCCCATAACAATGGTCTAACACCCGGGTACCTATTTACTGATGTTAGGTAAACAAAATTTTCAGCCGAAATGAAATATTCCCTTGACACTTCTCTCCTTACTTGTGTAAAGGAGGAATGTATATATTTATCTCTCAGAATGTTCGGTAATGTGTTTATTGTTTGTGATGTGTGTGTCTATGTATGTATTAACACGATGTACTGAATGGGGTGAGAATAGCTTGAGCTGCCTCATCCCTTTGTGTGTATTTTACCTCAATAAACTTATTTCAATTTCAACTTCTCTCCTGCCCAGGGAACTGGAGGAGGGTTCTGAGGAGACCACTGCGCTACAGGGCGCATGCAACAGCTGCGGGAGGGGGAAGGGGAGATGACAGAATGTGCACGAATGAACGAATTCGTGCACATTATGTACGAAAATAGCTCCCTCGGAAACAGGGAGCTATTTTCAAAGCACTGAGGAGGTGTCTATGACCTTTCTTAATACATCTAAGAAATGATCGATTAAAGCCATCGTTTTTAATTCAGACTATTGTATTAATCCTGTACCAGACCTGTACCTCACCTGTGTCAACCTTAACCTTTGTTCAGGTTGTACCACCGTCACGCTGGGAGGACTAGCAAAGGTTCAGAACAAGAGATGATCGCGGCTGAGACAAAATTCTTGGACTGGCTTCCCAAGACGCAGGTGGTCGGAGACAATGAACACACCTACACCCACCAGTACACAGCCCAAGGAACACACCTACACCCACCAGTACACAGCCCAAGAACACACCTACACCCACCAGTACACAGCCCAAGGAACACACCTACACCCACCAGTACACAGACCAAGGAACACACCTACACCCACCAGTACACAGACCAAGGAACACACCTACACCCACCAGTACACAGCCCAAGGAACACACCTACACCCACCAGTACACAGCCCAAGGAACACACCTACACCCACCAGTACACAGCCCAAGGAACACACCTACACCCACCAGTACACAGTCCAAGGAACACACCTACACCCACTAGTACACAGCCCAAGGAACACACCTACACCCACCAGTACACAGCCCAAGGAACACACCTACACCCACCAGTACACAGACCAAGGAACACACCTACACCCACCAGTACACAGCTCAAGAACACACCTACACCCACCAGTACACAGCCCAAGAACACACCTACACCCACCAGTACACAGCTCAAGAACACACCTACACCCACCAGTACACAGCCCAAGAACACACCTACACCCACCAGTACACAGCTCAAGAACACACCTACACCCACCAGTACACAGCCCAAGGAACACACCTACACCCACCAGTACACAACCCAAGGAACACACCTACACCCACCAGTACACAGCCCAAGGAACACACCTACACCCACCAGTACACAACCCAAGGAACACACCTACACCCACCAGTACACAACCCAAGGAACACACCTACACCCACCAGTACACAGCCCAAGGAACACACCTACACCCACCAGTACACAGACCAAGGAACACACCTACACCCACCAGTACACAGCCCAAGGAACACACCTACACCCACCAGTACACAGCCCAAGGAACACACCTACACCCACCAGTACACAACCCAAGGAACACACCTACACCCACCAGTACACAGCCCAAGGAACACACCTACACCCACCAGTACACAGACCAAGGAACACACCTACACCCACCAGTACACAGCCCAAGGAACACACCTACACCCACCAGTACACAGCCCAAGGAACACACCTACACCCACCAGTACACAGCCCAAGGAACACACCTACACCCACCAGTACACAGCCCAAGGAACACACCTACACCCACCAGTACACAGCCCAAGGAACACACCTACACCCACCAGTACACAACCCAAGGAACACACCTACACCCACCAGTACACAGCCCAAGGAACACACCTACACCCACCAGTACACAGACCAAGGAACACACCTACACCCACCAGTACACAGACCAAGGAACACACCTACACCCACCAGTACACAGCCCAAGGAACACACCTACACCCACCAGTACACAGACCAAGGAACACACCTACACCCACCAGTACACAGACCAAGGAACCTGGCAACAATATAGGAATATTAAAAAGCAATTTGATGCCCCGAACAACGTGATTCAGCTTTATAATTCTTAGAATTAAAGACGCCATCAATTAAATAAGACTAGGAGGTTACATTGCGCCGGTTACCTTGCGACGATTTCGGGGCTTAGCGTTCCCGCGGCCCGGTCCTCGACCAGGCCTGCTGGTCGAGGCCTGGTCTTTGCCCAGGAGAGGCAATGGTATTTCATCGAAATTCTCTAGTCGGAATAGGTTGAAGCGTTTGTGAGGGAGCTCGAACAAGGATTGACTGTTCAGGCAATGTGACAAGTGCATGCTTCCATGGTATCTATATTTATGAATCGTGAAGACTGCCAATAGTACAGTAATAGTATACCATAGCGTACACACACACACACACACACACACACACACACACACACACACACACACACACACACACACACACACACACATAGGGTAGGGGGCCGTGGCTGAGTGGACAGCGCTTGGGTCTCGTAATCCCAGGGGTCCGGGTTCGATCTGGGTTCGTTGGAAACAGATGGGCAGAGTTTCTTTCACCTTGATGCCCCTGTTACCTAGTAGTAAATAGGTACCTGGGAGTTAGACATCTATTACGGGCTATTTCTTTGGTGTGTGTACTTGGGGAAAAAATTAATTAGTTAGTAGTTAGTAACAGTTGATTGCGAGTTGAGACGCGGGCCAAAAGAGTAGAGCTCAACCCCCGCAAACACAACAAGGTGAATACACATACACACAAACACACACACGCTGGCTACTTAGTATAATTGCACATTCAATAAAACAGTTATGAGAACTGCACGTTCGGGCCAGCTAACATTGCAGTGATATAAAACATTATTTTAAACTTTCACGCGCAAGCTCCGAATGTCACAATATCATCTGCAACTTGTTTATGACAAACTGGATTAAGTCATTTACAAGTGAGGTGCGGAGGGCTTCCAGGACGGGCGGCGGCCTCCAGCGACGCCAGTAACAGTGCTGGAATACGTTGTGTGGAGTGTGGAGGCGGCGGGACAAAGAAGTAACAAGGGCCGATTTACTCCTGAATGTTTCAAGAATAGTTTGATGGTGGCGCGGAGTGTGGCGCTCGTCCCCACCACAAATAGACGCTATAACCTACACACACACACTTTCCCTTACATGTCAACTCTCTTAATCTAACACTGTTATTGTTTCCGCTGAGGGCTGGCCGGAAAGTGTACGTAAACACGTGTTACAGTCACACATTCGTAACCACCTACTGTTTTCCATTTCAATTTATTATCCTATTTATCATGTATTAAAACTACATTGTCTTAATTACAATCGAAACTAATTAGGAACTAAAGGTTATGCCGTTGATCAATCACACTCTGCGTGGCGCAATTAGAATGTATCAATACCTATTTACTTCACTCTGCTAATGCATAACTAACTAGTGAGATGTTTAAGCGGGTCCGAGGTAGCTTACCAGGTGAGCGCGGGCAGCAAGAGTAGAGATGATCCTCAGGTATGTCTCTCGGCCCACACATGTCACTCCTCTCTCACACTACTTCGATAAAATGTCTTCTTTTCAATCCATTAAATATTTCCGAGGCAGAGAGACGCACCCTTGTCACTGTCAGTGTCGCGTAAACACCTGCGAGCGGCAAATTTCTCTCACGCTCTCAACACGGCGTCTACGGTATTCAGTCTATGCTCTTAGTAACACAAAATTCCTTTAGAACACAAAAGCTGGTTGTTGGGGAGGACCCCGGCGCTTGAACGCAGGCACTAGCTGGTCCTGTACGCCTCTGTGGGTTTCCACCTTGCGAGGGTGTGTGTGTGTGTGTGTGTGTGTGTGTGTGTGTGTGTGTGTGTGTGTGTGTGTGTGTGTGTGTGTGTGTGTGTGTGTGTGTGTGTATGTGTGTGTGTGTGTATACGTGTACTGAGAGACTTTGTTGCTAAAATTGAAGTAGTCAGTCAGCGTGTGAGAAAGATTCACTTGTCCTTCTCTTTGCGTCAATTATTAGCAATTTTCTCTCCTCAATTATCTTATAATTAACGACGGATAATTTGCTTCGTGATTAACACATTTTCTGCCGAGTACAGCCGGCGGGAATTATGCAAGAGTCCCTCCCAAAAGCGGCGGTAAAATAACTAGGGAGGACTGGCGGCCACCTCCGCGCCGCTGCCTGAATGGCGCGGGGGGGAAAGAAAACGGGCCAAGAATTGCGAGCCCAAAATAGCATCGAAGTGATACTGCAAAGTGGAGGCTATTTCTCGACCAGGTCGCTTCGTACACAAGCTGGACCAGGACGTCCCCCTCCCTATGCGACACATCCTCCTGATAACACAGTACTTTTTGTAACTATGTGGACGATCGTACAAATATCAACGTGATAGACAAATAGAAAGTAGAATTTGGTACTATTTATTTGATAAGAGTCCAGAAGAGATGAAGGGAAGGGAACTACCAGGAGAATTACCAACTATATTAGGAATTACCAAGGAATTACCACTATATAGCACTTGGAAGGGGTAAGGATAAGGATTTGGAATGGGACGGGGGGAAGGAATGGTGCCCAACCACTTGGATGGTCAGGGATTGAACGCCGATCTGCATGAAGCGGAAACCGTCACTCTACCGTTGCTCTGAAGATCATCATTAGTTAATCTTCAAACATGACTTTTAATGAATGTTCATTTCCTTTAACAATAATATGATAATATTCACAATCATTAATTATTTTCTGGCATTCGCCGTGTCTCTTCCTTTGTGTTTTCTCAGAGAGACACGTGGCTACATGCGGCCAGTAACACGGGAGGACTTCAACACGTCCACAAGTTGAGGAATACTTGAAACAAAAACAAATACAGTTTTACTAAAAATAAGTAAATAAGTAAGGTGTGTGTGTGTGTAATTATCTCAGTGTAGTTACAGGATGAGAGCTACACTCGTGGAGTCCTGTCTTCCCAGTTCTCTTTGTCGTATAACGCTTCTAAACAGTGTGTGTGTGTGTGTGTGTGTGTGTGTGTGTGTGTGTGTGTGTGTGTGTGTGTGTGTGTGTGTGTGTGTGTGTGTGTTTATTTGTGCTTGTGTGTGAGCGTGCGTGCAGATAATAACCAAGGAACAGAAGTGCAGGTATCCAAGCGATATTGTTAAAAATACATATATTTATGTTTTAAGGATGAGGGCACTATCCGAAGCCAATTAAAGATAATATATGGGTCAATAATATGACGAGGTCCTGCGACGGGGAGAGGGCGCTCACTCTGCCAGCCTGACTATATATAACATCACCAAAACTAGTCCAAACACCTCACAATCTTCCCGGCCCATCAACACATGGCAATACTCTCACTAGCATTTGTTATACATATATAATTTTTGGCTGGATGAAACGCAAAGAAATACAGATAATTAATATTACGTTCGCTATTTGCGCAGTCATGGCGCATAAATCTGGCAAGCGATGCCACTGCGCATTCACTAAAGTTAGACTCGACTCAAGAATGAAACGTCGGATAAGATGACACCGTTTATCTAAGTTTACCCAGATAAACTTAATATAGCATCGCGACCATTTTCTTAATAATTTGTGCCGTCTAACCTAGAAAAAAAACAAATGAAAAACGCATAAAAAAATACCAAAAAAATGAACACAAAATGGAAAGTGGAGCAGGGTGAGCTATGAAGCCTCAAAATAAACACAGCGGGGAAGATGTTGTGTGTAATAATATATATAATCAGCAAGTATAACCCCCCCCCCCCTGGCCGGACGGCCCCACAACGCCCCCTGGCCGGACGGCCCCACAACGCCCCCCTGGCCGGACGGCCCCACAACGCCCCCCTGGCCGGACGGCCCCACAACGCCCCCCTGGCCGGACGGCCCCACAACGCCCCCTGGCCGGACGGCCCCACAACGCCCCCTGGCCGGACGGCCCCACAACGCCCCCTGGCCGCACGGCCCCACAACGCCCCCTGGCCGGACGACCCCACAACGCCTCCTGGCCGGACGGCCCCACAACGCCCCCTGGCCGGACGACCCCACAACGCCTCCTGGCCGGACGGCCCCACAACGCCCCCTGGCCGGACGGCCCCACAACGCCCCCTGGCCGGACGGCCCCACAACGCCCCCTGGCCGGACGGCCCCACAACGCCCCCTGGCCGGACGGCCCCACAACGCCCCCTGGCCGGACGGCCCCACAACGTCCCCTGGCCGGACGGTCCCACAACGCCCCCTGACCGGACGACCCCACAACGCCCCCTGGCCGGACGACCCCACAACGCCCCCTGGCCGGACGGCCCCACAACGCCCCCTGGCCGGACGGCCCCACAACGCCCCCTGGCCGGACGGCCCCACAACGCCCCCTGGCCGGACGACCCCACAACGCCTCCTGGCCGGACGACCCCACAACGCCTCCTGGCCGGACGGTCCCACAACACCCCCTGGCCGGACGATCCCACAACGCCCCCTGGCCGGACGACCCCACAACGCCTCCTGGCCGGACGGCTCCACAATGCCCCCTGGCCGGACGGCCCCACAACGCCCCCTGGCCGGACGGTCCCACAACGCCCCCTGGCCGGACGGCCCCACAACGCCCCCTGGCCGGACGGCCCCACAACGCCCCTTGGCCGGACGGCCCCACAACGCCTCCTGGCCGGACGACCCCACAACGCCTCCTGGCCGGACGACCCCACAACGCCTCCTGGCCGGACGGCCCCACAACGCCCCCTGGCCGGACGACCCCACAACGCCCCCTGGCCGGACGACCCCACAACGCCTCCTGGCAGGACGGCTCCACAACGCCCCCTGGCCGGACGGCCCCACAACGCCCCCTGGCCGGACGGCCCCACAACGCCCCCTGGCCGGATGGCCCCACAACGCCCCCTGGCCGGACGGCCCCACAACGCACAATACTCCAGCTTTAGCGTCAAGCTGAGCGACACAGAAGTATAAATAAAGTGCTTGTGTTGAGGCAGCTGGATGCAGTATATAGCAACTGGGTCAAATCTTAGTCACCGGCAGGTGACTCTCGCCTCTATAGCCCCAAGTTATAAATTTTATAGTCCCTTGACAAGACGGGGAAGGCGCTCGAGTTCCAGTAACGGGCGAGTCTCGTACATACTCCACTACGCTCTAAGGTTGATAATTCCAAGGCCAGTACTTTCAGGGCCGGGTTCACGTTGCAGATTATATTCGTTCTTGCGTCATCATTTTTGAAGGAAGAAACTCTGGTGGGAGTGTTGATAATCTCCTCTAGTAACAGAGATGATCACAGGGCGCTCACGGGGCAGTGTCAAGAGGCACTGCTTCATAAATATATTTCTGTACTCTAATACAATCACTCGATGAGCCGAAGACGAAACATTTCCGAGTGCATAAATATTTTGGGGGAAAATACTGAACCTAATGAGCGAACTGTCGTCAATTTCATAAAATTGACGACGTGTACAAAATATGGCGTATTTGTACACGTCAGAATGAAAGAGGTGACACGTTGTAAGTCGTTACGAGCGTCAATAACGTCCTGGTGGTGCTGGGATCACTAAAAATACCAGAGGTGAAGCAGCGATCACCCCAGACCGCGGCTATAATAAGCTGGCCAGGCTTGAATCAACACCACCCCGCTGCCTGCCCCAGGCCCCTCCCCTCAGCGCCGTCCACCCTCCCCCCCCCCCAGCCCTCAGCACAATCTCCCCGGCCCTCAGCACCGTTACCCAGCCCTCAGCACCGTCCCCCTGCCCCCAGCACCGTCCCCAGCCCCCAGCACCGTCCCCAGCCCTCAGCACCGTCCCCTAGCCTTCAGCACCGTCCCCCAGGTCCCAGCACCGTCCCCCAGCCCCCAACACCGTCCCCCAGCCCTCACAAACAAGTTCACTTGCTACCGCTCCCGCCGCCCGCCCTCTGGTCCACAGCGGAATGGTTATTTCTGTGAAGTAAAGCTCGGTGTTATATTTACGCCCGGAAACTACAGGCTATTACTGCCCCTCTCTCTCCGGGGTCCCATCGCTCTGCGGCCCCCTCTCTCTCTCTCTCTAGGGCCCCCCTCTCTCTCTGCGACCCTCTCTCTCCGGGGCCTCCGTTACTCGTATGCCTTCTCTCTCTTCTTTCATACTCTCTTCTACCTCATCGTCTCCTGCTTTTCTTCCTTCTCATGTTCCTCATTCTCTTCTCTTCCTCCTCCACAAGAATAACAAGTTTATTCCTCTACCTATTTTCACCAAGTTTATCATGTCACTGAGTCATGCCAGTCATGTCACGCAGAGATGCACTTAGTTATGTCAGAGAGCCATACAATGCAGAGAAAGAGAGAGAGAGAGAGAGAGAGAGAGAGAGAGAGAGAGAGAGAGAGAGAGAGAGAGAGAGAGAGAGAGAGAGAGAGAGAGAGAGAGAGAGAAGAACGCCATCAACCGTAAGACGCAACGGTAAGAGAACTATAATTGCGCTGATAAAGACAGAGGAGAAACAACATCCTGTTGTTACCGTAGTGTGGGGTAAGAGTCCCGGTATCAGGTGAGGAACGCGGGTGCCTCTCCTGCCCTGCCTCTACCAACCACCGGGCCACGAGACACTATACGAGGCAGCAGCGGCAACACAACATCCCACTGCTCAACAAATGCACAGATAGACAACTCAAGAGACCGTGTAAGGGGCGAGTGAGCATGCGTATATAATCTTAACGAACTACACCACGTGGTAATGGTCCCTCCCTTCCACCGTCCCTTTCCCGGACAAGTGAAAGTTAGGTCAGGTCACTGTGGGTCGTCAGGTTGTTTACGACCAGGAAGGCCTAAAGAAAACGGGGCGTGGGACGGCTTGGACGGTGGGGGGGTTGGTGGCAGGATAGGTAAATGCCTCCAGGCAGATATTTGTGTTTGTGGTGCATAACGGCCCGTCACACTACCGTAACAGATAGCCCTGTTACACACACACAATATATATATTTATGTCCTCATAAGCCCTACCTACCCGTCACTGTTGACACATGTGAGCACCGAGAACCCAGCAAACAGGCACAGGCCCACGCCAAACAGGTAACTAAGAGCTAACAGGACCACGCCAAACAGGTAACTAAGAGCTAACAGGAACACGCCAAACAGGTAACTAAGAGCTAACAGGTACA